GATTTGAAATACGGATTTTTTTGATTTTTTAAAAAAAATTTCAATTTTGAGGAGAAAAAAGTGAAAACACAGACGTTACAACTGTGCAACAGTGGTACAGGCTATTTTTATGCAACATTTCTGCTGGTTATGTGCATCCGTATCAATGAAGAACAGGCCAACTGCATTCATTTGGGGTTGGACGAAGTGCTGCGCGAGATCATACCGTGCTCTTGGCGAGTGCGCTGTTGCTGCGCTCAGTATGCTGCTGCTGCTTCTTGGCACTATCCTGAGCTTTTGAGAGATCGATGGCCAAGTTCCCGGGCAGATTCTCCGTTAACTGAGCCACCAGCTCACTGGTCGATTTCACATTAGCGCGTCGGGCAGCCAACAGCGAAGACTGATGTGCAGCTGGTGAGGTCATCGCGGAGCTGACGTGGGGGCGCTTCACTGCTGGAGCCGTCCATTGTCCTAACCCGTTGTTTGTTGTACCTGCAAAAAGTATTATAGATCGTAAAGCAGCATAACAAATAAGTAGCTCCGAAAGACGCAAAAGGATGAATGTAAGAAAATCGGACCCGTGTCTGCAGAGTTTCCGGCTTTTCGCTTCCCGTTTCGGACGACATTCGAGCTCGGCAACCCGTCCAGTGCTTTTGATGCCATGTCTGTGGGTATTGTAGAGCATTTCCGCATGCCAGTATGCTTAGTATCAGCTACTGCAACTTCTGACGGACCTTTCCGCTGCTGTTGCTGCAGCAGCTCACCAGATAAACCGTTTGGAAGAGTTGCTGGTGAACTCCGTGCGCCTGCAAAAAACAAAAAACCACACGTACCGTTACCAATTTCCACATAATTTCAATTTTAATATAACACAACTATTTAAAATTAAAATCAAATTTACCCTAATTACCACAACCGTCGTATTGAGGAGGTTCAATTGTGGTAATGATAAGAAATGTATACGAATTAATGGACTGAAACATTTCTTATCATTAAGATATTTTACAGCTTTTACTAATTTCTTAATATTATTTGCTTTTGTCTTCTTCCAACTTCAAAATATTTTTCTATTAAAATTTTTCGTTATCGAGGCTGCTCTTCTATCCCACCCCTTCTTGTTAAGCTACAATTTAGTTTTTGCTTTTATTATTTTCTTTTTTGTTATAACCTTTTCCATAAGTTCATAAAATATATACAAATTACAAGGCAAAAAGAAAGGAGAAAGTTCGATAATATTTATCGGTACACATTTTAACTTAAGCTACAACTGCAGGCCACGTGGCGCAAAAAATGCCGGGATTTGGGTCTTGCAATACTTTGGATTTTGAAATTCCCAAGTCGATTCCGAACTGCACACCCATAAAAATGAATAAATGAAGAGATCCTGCACACCGAAAAATATTGGATTCAGCTTCCACGCACTCCTATGTGTCACGTACGGCCCCATGAAAGTTTTGGAAGGAAAATTATTATCTGGTGTACTGCAAAAGCTAGGAAGATGAAATTTTACGGTAAGGTCCCGTGCCTTAATACAACCCCGCAAGGTGAAGGACGACTTTCTGGGTAGAGTGGTATGAAAAATGAGGCAAATGATACCTGTGCTTGCAACTGGCGTTGTGAGGCGTGAAGAAGAGCTGGCAAGCGGAGTGAGACGGGAGCTCCCGGCCGGAGTGGCAAGGCGTGCGTTTGCCACCGGGGTAACTTTTGCGCTTTGTACGGCTGGCGTGCCCGGCGTAACGGCACCTTTCTTGACGGCCGGCGAGGAAGCGCAACTGGGTGTGCCATTGGCCGACGATGAACCACTGGACGTGGGTTTCGGATCGGCCAACTTCTGCCAGCATTTGATCAGGGCTCGGCATTGCTTGGCCAGTGCTGGCGCTGACTGGGCCACCTTCTTGCGGAAATCATTGACAGTCGCACCAATACGAGTCATCTGAAAACAGAGCAATGAGCGAATGAGCCGAAAATCGGCGTAATTTATACTAACTTGCATCAGCCATCTCTGCCTTCAAGGGGATATCGATCACCGAAGGAGGAGGCAGCTAATGATGAGAAACGACCGCTCGCAGTGCGCCGTCAAATACACGTACGCTGCCACGTTAGGAACACTTCGCGCAATGCAGCGCTCACGTACACACGGATCTCTCTCCTCTTTCTTCGCTAGATAAGCCTATGTGTAGGACGGCATAGGTACCAGTGCTACAAAAGCCCGGGTCTAAAGCTAAAACAGAAGAAAACTAAAGCCTAAAGTAACTCTAAGTTGTTGTGTGTTATAATTCTATTCCTAGCTTTTGTATAGTTCCAGGGTGGAAGGGGACTCTCCTCTTTACCTCACGTTGTCCCCCTACCTCAGCCAGCCCGTCCTGGACCTGCTTATGGTCGTATATACGGCTTTATGGATAAGCAGTACTTTCATGCTGCCTTGTTTGAAAAACGCCAATATCTCGCTAGGCACACAAAAGTACCGCACCCTTGTACTGCCTGCACACAGTTCGAGGGATACGCCAACCCCAAAGGCTGTTTAGCAGGTTGGAGACCAAGTTTCGTTCAGACAAATTCTGACCCCACTTCTTACGCCCTGTTGCAAAAGATAAGGGAAAATTTGCAGTGGATGTGAGTATGACAAAAGATTACGACAATTTTCGAAAGATGAATTTTCGAAAGCAGCAAAACAGAAAATCAACAACCCAAAAACTTTGTCAAAAGAGGGGGATAGTTGCGTTTAGGTCACCATGCCAGTGGCATTTGCTCGCAGAAAAGGTTGCAGGACAATTAATTGAAAGTGCATGAGATTTGTGAGAATTTGAAAAAAAAAATTCCTTCCGTTGTTGCGATACAGAAGAAAAAGAGCAAGGATGGGCAGCTCTCATAAAGTTGCAAGATATCTCTCAATATGGCATAGACAACGAAAGTAACATTCTTCAGCCTAAGTGTAGAGATTTTTTTGTAGAAATTTTTGTGTAGAAATTTTTGAGATTTTAAACAATGAATATCCTTGGCTAGGAGTTACGCAGTATGCGAATGAAACCGGGACTGCTGAGGGGAAAAACTTCGCGGCGAACCAAAAAGTTATGCGGTAATGCATGGCAGATAACAGTGGGCTAAAGCGTGCTTTCGATGAAATACCGTGGCCCGGATTTGGGGGTGATCCACATACAGAAGATAACGCATGTTGAAGAATAACTGGACTGATCTAGTAGCAGGAAATGAGAGACAACAAACTGCCAAGAAAGATCGACTAAAGATATCCCCAAAGCAAAATTTTAAAAGAAAATGAGAACTTCAGAAGCGCGCTGCAAAGACTCTCAATGTTTTTTGGATTTTTGAAAATTTTTTTTCATAACTACTGCACTTCAGGGAATTTTTTTTGAACGTCTCCTCACAATGAAGTGAATGGGAAACGATTAAAATTAAAAAAGATGAAGGAGTCGCTGCATCAATGGCGAGAAGAAATGAGCGAAAATGGAAAAACAGCTGATCGAAGTACCTAAAAATTTTGAGATCTAAAGAATTCAAGAAAAGATGGATCAGAAATCAGAACATAGCAAACTGAGCCTTGTAAGAAGCGCAGTTTGTCTGGTCTCGAATTAAGAAATGCACGAAAGGTTTATGAAAGAGCGCAGGATGATTTCGTTAAGCAATGTTTTTGCATAAATGCGCAAATGGATATAAGTGCAAATGTTCCCCATAAATAATTTTTTGTCATTGGCAATCGGTGGGGATGTGAACAACGGGGGATCATATGCCCGAGCTTCTGTCAAGAGAATTTGTATGTGCACAACAGGGCTTTGAAGTGCACTATATTTCGAGAAGCAAGCCGACGGTATTTACGCCTACCACGTGGATCTAGCAATGGCAGATTGCTGCCGAAACGAATAAACGAATCGTAGAGGGGTGATCTGGTGTGTCACTGGTGTATCGAAGAAACGCTACGTGAAACGATCGGCAAACTTTTAAGATCTCAGCGATGCCTCTGGCGTTCCCAATGCTTAGGCTTAAGCCTAGCAACGCTGTAGCTGAGCACAATGTCTACAAATGGTTATGAAGATGTCTACAGGCACAATGGGGAAGGGGGAAAGTACCGGTACTCAGAAATACCGCAATATTTACTCTTGCAACGGTTTGTTTGGACTGAGAAGGGGAGAGCTAGGAGCCGGTGCTCCGGAGACTCTCTCTCCCTCAACAGATTTCATTCCTCTTCTTCTGCCCCCTTCTCCACTGCCCTCCTTTTATGGGCGAGCAGAACACAACCCGAATCTCGACTTCAGCACAGTGTAATTGATTTTGACAAGCACTCTTCGAGGGAGGCAAGGGCCGGGTGCTCTGAAGAGCCAGCACTCGGCAAAACGCACTTCAGCAGTCTTATGGCCCAGCATGGCACTACATACTACGATGCCATTCACACCGATGGCCTTGCCTCGAGCTTTTCGCGGGCAAAGTGTTCGGCCTGTGGGATCGAAAGAGTGGACTCAGCACATGCCTTGTTTGCTAGGAGAGGCAGCCCCGGTAAAAGCCCCAAAATGCCCGGAGGTGAACACAGTCAGTCCGCAAACTGAGATCCCGGAATACGGGGCTTTCCGTGCTCTGTGCAGCTGAGAATTCGCTTCGGTACTTATGCAGAAGGCTGGACGAGGAACGCGGGAAGAATACCCCAAAAACTGATTATATCGCCTTTTCACTAAGAGCTACACCAACATTTTTGCTTCAACCATGCGCCCAGTAATTCACTCAGAAGCACTGCTGTGAAAGATTCAACTACATGTGCCGCTTGGGAGGGACAAGGCCGAACTGACAAGAATGCATTGCGCTGAACGAGACAGCAATACCGAGAATTTCAACGGAATGGCCGTATAACGCACAGTACGAGAAACTTCGTGAATTCCCTCAACAAAGAACTAAAGGCCCGGGCCTTGTCTGTTCACCAGCCATCACCAAGTCAACAATTGGCTTTTTATTAAAATGTTGCATTTGCTTCCATCTCTCAGAAGAATACAGCCACACGCATTTTAAAACACCGATCTCCCCTGCCTCACTTCTCTAGCAGATTGCTTAGGAATGGAAGTAGCCTGTAGTAAAACATACACCGGGCATGTAAAAATCTTTATTGGCCGGAAAAAAATAGCGAAAACACTGGAAGCACTGCTGAAATGAGAACAAACGTGAAGTGCCTGTCGTAAAGTCTTCACTTT